CACTGTCCCGTCAGTCGCGGCTTCGTCGTGCTGCAGTTCCCTTCACGTGCGCGCGCCGGGACGGTCTCCAGCAGCTCTTGGCCAAGACCGACTCACGGTTGCAAAATGGTTGGTGCGGACATATCTTCGGAAAGGTTTCGGTTGATAGTTTCCGATTTGCCAACGGCTTGCGAGCACACCGTGTCAACGCCTTCGGATTGAGCACGACCATTTCGGTAGGGCACCTCTAGTCCGGGGACGCACGCCAGCAACGCGTCCTGATGGCGCCACTGAATGACGACATTTGGCCAACAGTTACAAAACAACACGGGAGTTCTGCCCGACGTCACCGATGCACACTTTGCGCCTTGCGGCGTGCGCTCGTGGAGCACGATGCACGTTACAATTCGGTTCCTTGGCCTTGCTGCTGGCGAGAGGGCCGCTTGTCGGGCGCTCGCAACAAACCAAACACGAGGACGGTGATGATCTTCGACGAGCGCACCAGGGGTCCATGAGCACAGCGGGGACCGAACACGGGGGGTAGAATTGTGGAAGACGATCAATGGAGAGGAGGCATGCTGTCAAATCAAATGCAGATGTCTGACACTGCCATGTTCAAACCATGCAGAAACATGTTTGACACATGTGCCCTACAGTTTTAAAACATCGAGTGCACATTTCAAATCCAATGGTGGGGCTGTTAGAGTACCCATGATCATGACATCCACAAGGCTCGCGGCGTGAGCTAGGGCCTTCCGTCCTCGCAGGGACAGACACACACCGTTTGGGGGCTGACCGACCTTGTCGAGCGCACCCGCCCCCTCCCGCCCCCCCGCCTCCCTGGTCAGTGTGGCAGCCAGGGCGAGGGCGAGGAGGAGCAGGAGGATGAGCGGAGACCAGGGGAAAATAGGGAAGAAGGAGAGAGAAGCAGGATAAGCTGGAGGGCGAGGTGCAGCAGGAGGAGGCAGGGCGTAGCAGTGATGAGCGGCAGGAGGAGGACGAGAAGGAGGAGGAGGAAGAGGAGGAAGACGAGGAGAAGGAGGAGAAGGATAAGGAGAACGAGGACGAGGAGAAGGAGGAGGAGGAGGAGGAGGAGGAGGAGGCAGGAGGAGAACGAGTAGAAGAAGGAGGAGGAGGAGGAGGAGCAGGAGGAGGAGAAGGAGGAGGTTGGAACCCAACAGCTTTGGTGCTTGGGCTTGCCCAGCGTGACAGGAGGAGGAGGAGGAGGAGGAGGAGGAGGAGGAGGAGGAGCAGGAGGAGCAGGAGGAGGAGGAGGAGCAGCAGCAGCAGCAGCAGCAGCAGCAGCAGAAGTAGCAGAAGCAGCAGCAGCAGCAGCAGCAGCAGCACTAGCAGCAGCAGCAGCAGCAGCAGGAGCAGGAGCAGTAGCAACAGCAGCACAAGAGGCATGAGTATCTAGGACGACGAGTGCGTTACGCAGCGGCGGGCGCGGCACCGGGGTGCCGTTCGAGGCTCGGCCGGCAGGCTGCGGCGTGCAGCCGACGGCGGACCCGCCACAGGGCAGGCTTACGACTGGGGAGGTGTTCTCACATAGCGCACTTTCGTAGCACCCCGCGGTTTCGGATAAGAGTGAGGGGGCGGTCGCGAGGTGGGTCGCGGGTGGGTCGCGGGTCGCGGGTGAGGACGACAACACCAGCGCAACAACAACAATCCGCCCCTCGGAACCCCACTTTAGCCACGCGCCCAGGGACAGTGAATGACCGTTAGGCCCCCTCACTCTGACGAACAGCCGCAGAAGAAAGTTGTAAATGGAGCGCCCTTACTCGGGGGTGGAACCATTTTCGGAGGATGAGCTGCGTAATCTTTACATTTGCAGAAGATACGAAGGGCCATTCCACAAACCGCTGCCAGCATGGTGGTGCGTGTGAAAGGGTCGGCGGAGCAGCTGCAGGTCACCCAACCCGACATCCGAAGACGTCCTGACCCGCAACCGCTTGCGAACCCCGACCCCTACTGGTCCAGTCGAAGCTGGCGGGAGACGTCCTTCGGATTCTGAGCCACCCTCTTTTTCAGCAATCTATGTTGCAGGGGTAGGGTTCACAGGTTGTTGCCTATCTGTTGGGCAAACAGAAGCGCCGAGAAGCAGTGAACAAGTTCTTGTGGGCAAGCATGAACGCGCAGGAGCGACGGGCCGGAAGCCCGAGCGTGATCATACAGGAGAGAGAGGAGAAGGGGGAGAGGAGACGCGAGTCAGGAGGGGGACGGGGAAGAGGAGACGGAACGGACAGGGAGCAGAAGGGGTAGAGAGAAGAAAAGACGGCATAAGCATAAACTTGTAGCGCTCGCGCTCCGCGCGGGTTTCTTGGATCCGCGCTGGGACCCCCAGGCGGCGCCTCCGGCGCTGCCCCCGCCGCGCTCCGCGCGCCAGGGAGGGGACTCCAGCGCAGATGCAAGAAAGCCGCGCGGACCGTTGCAAGTATGCAGTTCTTTTCCTAGAGGAGGAGGAGAACGACGACGACGACGACGACGACGACGACGGAGGAATGTGCAAGGGGGCAGCGGATACACGGGTGCCTCCCGCTGACCCTTTGACCTTCAGTTTGATCAGGCGATCGCAAGCATGGATCAAGGGGGCGTGGATTAGCGATGGGTCCCGTTTCCATTGGAAATCGCGGATTTCCGCCGCCGAACGAGGCGGCGCCGGCCGCATTCTGGGGAGGGATCCCCCCCCCGATCCATGGATTCGGCGACCGCGCGCCAGATCCATGGATCGCTGCTCCATGTTCGCGCGCCACGTGCCGCAGCATCGTGCCTCGGCGCCCGTCGTCCCTGGCCCTCCCTCTGCGGCAAGGGACTCGTGCCTCCTCCGGCGTCCGGCCCTCGCCCGTCGCGGGCGGCCCCGCTCCGGGCGCCCGCGAGAGGTCGGCCTGGACACGCCGGTGGAGAGGCCGGGAGCGGCTTGGCTGTGACGAGGAAGAGCTTGTATGGGGACGTGTGCACGGGTCCAGGGGAGAAGGGTGCAGCATTTTCACGGAGCGTTGTGCTCCTCCAGGGGAGCGAAGAATGGCAAATGGCATGAGCATAACAACTCGGAGGTCCGCGCGGGTTTCTCGGAGCCGCGCTGGACCCCCCTCCCTGGCGCGCGGAGCGCGCCAGGGGCGGCGCTGGAGGAGTCGCCAGGGGGACCCAGCGCCGATCCGAGAAGTCCGCCCGGACCTCCGAGTTGTTATGCTTATATCAGTTTTCGTTCCCCTATTATCGGGCGTGAAGGCTGGCAAGAGTATGGAGAGTATTGCGAAGGCCCTGCGGCCGTTGCCGCCGACGCTGATGGGGGGGCGTCGACGACGACGGCGGCGGTGGCGGCGGCGGCGACGACGCTGACGTGGGCCCGAGTCCTCAGAGGTGCTTCTTGGGGCCTCCTGGGAATGCTCTCGGGGGCCTCTGGGGAGGAATGTTGGGGTCTCTTGGGAGCATCTTGGGGGCCTCTAGGGGTTCTTTTCGGGTGTCTTGGGGGCATCTTGTGGGCTTCTTGGGGCCTCTGGGTAACCTCTTGGGGCCTCCTGGGAGCTTCTCGGGGCCGAGGGCTCGAAATGTCGGGTTCCCCGTCAAGGTATGCTCTTGGAGCTGTCTTGGGGGCCTCTTGGGCCGTCTTGGAGGCGTTTTGGGCTGTCTTGGGGTTCTCTTGGGATGTGTTGGAGCGCTCTTGGAAGCCTCCTGGGCCGTCTTGGGGCGATCTTGAGGGCCTCTACGGCTGTCTTGGAGCAGCGGAAGCAGAAAAGGCCAGAACGCCCAAACTTGTCAAAAACTCAAGGGAATTCCTTGCATCATGGGGCCCTCTCGGGTGTGCTTTTGGAGGCCTCTTGGGGCCCCCTTGGGCATCCTATGGAAGAGTCTTGGAAGTCAAGGGGCCTCTTGGTGTTCTCGTGGAGAATTCCTGTGGACTTCTCTGGGCTTCCGGGACCGCGCGGGGGTTCCAGGACCGCGCGGGTACCGTTAGAGAGTATTTTCTACAGGCTGGGCCGTAACGCAACGCGCGTTGTGTCCCTCCCGCCTCCCCCGCCCCCACACGCCCCCCAATACGCGTCGCCTCCCCACAGAGCGCCCCCAGCACTGCCCAACGAAGCGCGCCCTCGGCACTGCCGCAACGCGCGCGTGCGCGCGTGTTATACGCCAAAGCCTCTCGGCGAGATGTGGTCGCAGCGCTTGCGCCCACCACTGACACGTTGGGCGCTCACATGCGGAAGGCCGTTTCTCGCAGACACGATGCAAAGGCAGGCTTAACGACACTTCCAGTGCCGATTCGTGCTCCGAGGCGCCGGACACGTAGAAATGTAAGAGGACGATAATCAATATGAGGAGGGAAAGGAGGAAGCGAGGAAGACATAGGACGGATGAGGAAGATGTCGGAAGTCGTCGTCGTCCAGTCGTCGTCGTTGTCGTCGTCGTCGTCGTTCAGTCGTCGTCGCCTGTCGTCATCGTCGTCATCGCCCAACATCGTCCGTCGTCATCGTCGCCGTCGTCATCGTCGCCGTCGTCGTCGCCGTTGTTGGCGTCGTCGTCGTCGTCATCGTCGTCGTATGCGTCGTCTTCGTCGTCTGCGTTGCCCTGGTGGTCGTGGTTGCCCAGTCGTCGCCCACCCGTCATCTCGTAGTCGCCGTTGCCCACTCTTCGTCCACGTCTGCGTCTGCGCCGTCATTTTGTAGGCGTCGCCGTCATCCAGTGGTGCAGTCGTCGTCTTTGTCGTTGTCGTCGTTGCCCAATCGTGCAGTCGTCGTCCAGTCGTCGTCGTCCAGTCGTCGGTGTTGTCGTCGACCGTCGTCGTCGTCGTCGGTCGTCGGTCGTCGTCGTCGTCGTCGTCGTCGTCGTCGTCGTTGCCGTATTCGTCGTTTGCTTCGTCGTCGTCGTTTCGATGCAGTCGTCCAAGTGTGCCGTCGTCGCCGTCGTCGTCGTGCAGTCGCAGGCGTCATCGCCCTTATCGTCGTGCAGTACACCTTAGGCGATGCTTAAGAAAACTTAAGTTTTCGGCCAGGGTCTCGATTATTCTTAATGTTTCGATGTGAATCCTAACATTTTAATAGACATGTTGGGTTTTCATCCAAGTTCTGAGACTATGAGTTTCTTAACCCATGATTTCTTAAGCATTTCGCAGGGTGTATTCACTTTCGGAGGATGCGTCTTGTCGTACGGGAACGGTTTCCTGCGCTCTCGCCCCGAAGCCGGCCACACTTCCTATGAACGCGAGGCTCCCGCTCGAGCGCGAGCTTGCGACGACGAACGCTCCCGCTGGACATTCTTCAGCATTTGCTCCGGGACGGCGCTCTCGCTCGATGCTTTCTTGCAGCTCAGTCAAGAACGGTGACGGCCAAACTGCGACTGCAACGGCTCCCGTTCGACACTCCCTCGCAGTTTACTCCGAGGCGCCTTGATCAGAAGACGCCCCCGCTCTCAAGAATGCCGCTCTCGCCTGAGATTCCCTCGCAATGCACTTGCCCAACTGAGACTACAACGGCTGCCGCTCGATGCTTCCCATCAATGTAGCCCCACGCGTCCTGGTCAGCATCGCCATCTACCCCATCTACTCGGATCCCATGTGGGAGGCCTCTAAATGTAACGGGGTCGTCTTCGCCGCCATTGGCGCGCAAATGGAACGCGCAGGGTCTCGCACAGGCGCCCTCGCTTCCAAGGTGGCGTGCCGCGCTGGCGGCCCGCGTAAGCCACCGCGCAAGGTCTCTATGCCATCTCGCTTGGGACCCCTTTCTTTTCGTCGCTCGGGTGTCGATCCTCCCGTACCGTACTCTCTCGACGTCCCCTCGTGCCCCCCCCATCCGCGCACGTTCCGCGGGGCAGTATTTGCACCCCCGGGGCCCCGGAGGACGAAGCCCAGGAAAACCGCGCGGAGAGCTGGGGACCTCGACCCTCGAGCCTCGACCTCGATCCTCGAGGCTGGACCTCGACCCTCCCCCGACCCTTGATCCCCCCCCCCGATCCTCGATCTTCTCCTGAGAGATCCGACGTCGCGGAGCAAAAAGGAACCATCGCGAGGAGGAGGAGGAGGAGGAGGAGGAGGAGGAGGAGGAGGAGGAGGAGGAGGAGGAGGAGGAGGAGGAGGAGGAGGGGGAGGAGGAGGGGGAGGAGGAGGAGGAGGAGGAGGAGGAGGACTCCGACCCCCTCATCCTGCGGGCGCTTCCGAGTCAGAGCGACCTAAGAGGGCCCCGCGTGGCTCGAAAAACACAGGTGGCGAAGAGACGCTCGGCGCGACGAGGCTGCAGCGCCTGGATCTCGGGGCCGGCCCTCCCCCCGAGCCTCGAGTTCCTCGAGGTCCCCCCCCGCCCATCATCATCACCATCATCAGCATCATCCCCATCATCGTCATCATCATCATCATCATCAGCAGCAGCATCATCAGCATCAACATCCACATCATCATCAGCATCATCATCATCACCATGACCATCACCATCACCATCACCAGCACCAGCATCAGCATCAGCATCGGCATCAGCATCAACATCAGCATTATCATCATCATCATCATCATCATCATCACCATCACCATCATCATCATCATCATCATCATCAGCATCATCAGCATCAGCATCAGCATCAGCATCAGCATCAGCATCATCATCATCATCATCACCACCAGTGGCATCGCCATCATCGGCATCGAGTTCTTCGAGGTCCCCCCCGGTCACCCAGGGCCCTGACGTCATGGTTTCTCCACGGCATGGGCCCCTCAGCGTCACGTCGGGCGTATCACTCTGCAGAAGGAGTCTCCCAGAACAGTCCGAAGCAAGCACCTGGGGACGCGATTTTTCCACTATGTCTGGCTATGTTTGAATTATGTTTTGATTCTAATCCGCCTGTAGGAGGACATGCCCGACCGAACCCCAGCGATCTGGACCCATGCCCCGGGACTGGTTTCTCGTCCCGAGCCTTTTTCAACGGCCCCGAGGGCTGATTGGGGGGGGGCACCCAGAGGCCGAAAGTAGCGAGCAGCCTCCCCTCACTGCTTTCTCATGGCCCGACGGGCCCTGGTGCCGCAGGCTGCATGTGTGGCCCGAGCTCGCCCGGGCCCCCCCTCCAGTCCCCGATCCGCGAGATGTCCTCCCCCGTTGCGAACACGATGTGCTTCCGCATCGGCTGCGTCGCGGAGTTCTGGGCCCCCCTCCCCGCCCCCAGAAGCCCGAGGCGCATTGGACGTGGACAGAGATCTGGCCCTAGAGGCTCGATTCCTAGACCCACGCACGCTGGTCGTTGAAAGTATGTGTGTTTGGATCCCTAGATCCCGATCTACTTCCAAGCGCCTTCCCAATTCAAGCATCGATATGCTCTTGCTGCGGCTTGGTTTGCTCTGGAAGGGCCTGAACCCAATCGACTTCATCCGCCTTTCCACTTCATGCTTTTCCTACATCAGTGCTTGCACTGAAGGGGTCCCAGCGGATATTGAAAGATTGGGAGAATGCCCCGGGCCGATTTCGGTAGACGGCTGGGTTCCCGGATTTCTGGTCCCGGGCTCCTGGGTTCCTGGTTGCAGGTGTCTGGGCAGACTTCGGGATCCCACGCTCGAGCTCACCATCGCTCTCATGATCGATCTCACCATCCATCTCCCCAGACCCCCGACGTAATGATTTGTTCATTACGTCGACCCCCAGAGGTCCCGACCCTTTCCCCATGACCGGCTTTGCATCCTGAGTCGTTTTTTGACGCTCCCGAGGCCCGGTGAGGGCCCCCAAAGGCCAAAAATAATGAAAAACCTCCCGTCGTGATTTTTTCATAACTCGAGGGGGTCTGGGTCAATCGATCCCACCATCGGCATCACCATCGACCTCACCACCGGAAGCCCTCCACCGATCGGGCTTTTTTTGCCTCGGGTGCCCTCTCTCGTGCGTGCCTCTCCCGACCCGGCGTGCAATAATTACCCGCCGCGCCTCGGTCCTCCGGCGCCACGCCCCGAAGCGCCCAGAGGACGCATTCCTCCTCCTCTCCTCCTCCTCCTCCTCCTCCTCCTCCTCCTCCTCCTCCTTCGTAGCCATTTTGGCTCAAGAGCCTGTTCGCCTGCCCAGGCTGAGCTGGCCGCGGTTCTGCTCCTCCCATGTCCGATGCAATGGCGGAGGCGCTGCTCGGCGCGGTGGTTCGTGCGGGCGGCTCCCGCCAGGTGGTGGCGGCCACGGCGGTCGCCCTGTGGCGCGCGGGTCGCGCTGCGTCTGCCCAGGAGGCTGACGAGAAGGAGGTCCTGGAGGAGGTGGACGCCAGGATCGGGATGATCAAGCCCGTCATCGCGGCGAAGGTCCGCGCAGCGCACGACGTGGAGCCGTTGCGCCTCACGGGCGAGGACAAGGCCATCAGGAACGTGGCCGAGCACGCGCTCTTTGGGGAAGGAGCGGAGGCCTTGCCGAAGGATGGCAAGGAGGCGAAGCGGCGACAGAGAGGCAGGCACCGTGCTGGTGCGGCCCTCCGTGCAGCCGCCACCAGCAGCCAAGTCTCGGACGAGGAGTGCCGCGAGCGGGTGACGAAGATCGAGGACGGCTGCATCCAGAAGGAGAAGCTCGAGGAGAAGAAGGACAAGCTCAAGCAGGCGTGGAAGCAGCAGGAGGCCGAGTGCGATGGCCAGAAGGAGCCGAACCTCTTCGACACTGGGTCCGAGGGCACCGTGGTGGAGGCCCCCTCCCAGGTGGAGAAGGTCGACGAGGTCACGTGCGCGCTCTCCGACCAGCTGGGCTGCAGGGCGGGGCAGGAGTTCACCCGCGACATCCAGAAGTGGGCCATGGAAATCATCAACTTGGAGGCGCAGCTCGAGTGCGCCAAGGAGGCCCATGCGAAGGCCATCCAGGAGGCGTTCGACGAGGGCGACCTGGACCCGAGGGCCTTCCTGTGCGACGAAGAGTGCAAGACCGAGCACCCTGACTAAGACTCGGCCGCGGCGCTCTTCGGCCAGTTCGTGGTGCTGTACCCGGCTGGTTCAGGCGGTGGGGGCCCGCTATTCCCCTAGCGACTTCGGCTTCGCTAAGAGGTCGCTCTACGTCTGACGGTGGGGGACCGTAACCCCCGTCGGCGTGCTCGGCGTGGACGGCTGAGCTGGAGAGGAAAGGATGTTTCTCTACTCCAGTTGCACCCCGGCCTTCCCTCTGCCATGGCGCCGTTTGTGGACGTACGCTGTCCTTTCATCTGATCGCTCCTGATCGCTCCTCCTCCTCCTCCTCCTCCTCCTCTCCCTCCTCCTCCTCCTCCTCCTCTCCTTGCTCCTCCTCCTCCTCCTCCTCCTCCACGTGGACGCGGCTCGTGTCCACGTGGCCACTGCAGTGGCCACGTGGACACGAGCCGCGCGTCCCGCGCCCCCGCCGGCAGGCTGGGGCCCGAGCTCGCCCTGGGCCGGCAGGGGCTGCGCCTCCGTCCTCGGCGACACGTCGCCCGGCCCCCCTGGAGGTATGAGAGAAAAACGCCCCTCGAGGTATGAGAGAAAAACGCCCCCTCGAGGTATGAGAGGAAAACGCCCTCGAGGTATGAGAGAAAAACGCCCCCGGGCAGGCTGGGGCCCGAGCTCGCCCTGGGCCGGCAGGGGCTGCGCCTCCGTCCTTTAACGGCACCGCAACGGGTACTTACTAACGGGTACTCTGCAATTTTGCCGAAAGTTGCCACTTCGGGGCCTCTTTCTGGCAAGGCAGCGTTGCCCGCATCGGGAAGGGTTGGGTTCGCTGGGTCACTGGCCAAAGTACCGGTTAGTGGAGTCCCCGTTTGAGGGGCGCCTCCGTCTTCGGCGACACGTCCCCCGGCCCCCCTCGAGGTATGAGAGAAAAACGCCCCCGGGGAGTCTTCCGCAGTGTGCGGCCTCTGGGGGCGCTCACCGGCCCTCGGGACCGTCCCAGACTGCTCGGGGGCGGCACGCCGGTCCCGGGGAAGAAGTCCAGACCGCTGGGGGTCCACGCCGTGGAAAAAATCATGACGTCGGGGGTATGGGAAGAGTGGCCCTTCGCCAGAGGGACCTCCTGGTGCGGGCTCACCAGGGTCCCCCCGATCGTTGAGCGCGATGCGATATAGTGGCTGCTTGCGCGCTCGGATCTGGCCACATTTGACGCGCTCCTAGGGGAGCGAAGAATGACATAAGCATAACGACTCGGAGGCCCGCGCGGATTTCTCGCATCCGTACTAGACCCCTGGCGGCGCCTCCGGCGCCGCCCCTGGCGCGCTCCGCGCGCCAGGGAGGGGGGTCCAGCGCGGATCGGAAATCCGCGCGGACCTCAGAGTCGTTATGTTTATGTCATTCTTCTTTCCCCCAACGTAGGGTCCCTGTGGCGTGTCGCCGACACGAGCCGCGCTCCCGCGCCTCTTCGCCAGGCTGTGGCCCGAGCGTTCGCCCGGGCCGGCGAGCGCGCTGCCGACGTGCACCAAGCTGTGCCTCGGCCCTCTGGCGCCACTCCCTGGCAAGAGCCCACGGCGCAGTGGCCACACGGACACGAGCACAGACCTGCGACGTCCTGCTTTTTTCTCACTACGGGGCCCCTGAAAGCCGACCTGTTCCCCGGGACCGGTCTTTCGTCCCGAGTCGTTTTTTTGTTGACGGTCCCGAGGCCTGGCGAGAGCTCCCCGAGGCCGAGAACTGGCAAGCACCGGTCCGTCCTGATTTTTTCTGCGACGCGGTCCTGTCTGGGATCGGGCCGGACGAAATGGGGGGATTGGGAAAGGGGGGGGTTACGAAATCTGCTGCATGCAGCTGGTTTCGGCCCCACCGAGGGGCCCATTCCTCGACACGCAGCCGCCTCCGGCGCCGGGAGGCGCCGGGAAAATCAGTTATACGTGAGCTGCTTTTCGAACCCCCCCTTTGCTATAGAGCCCCCCTTTTCGCCCGGCCAGATGGGCGCCGCGCCTCCCCCGCTTTAACGGGCGAAGAACGGTACAAAAAAAAACAGTTTCGCTGTCGGGGGCGCCTGTCCCAGGGCGGCTGGAAAGTTTATACCCCTACGGTGCCACCGCAAGGGTATAAACTTTCCAGCCGCCCTGGGACAGGCGCCCCCGACAGCGAAACAGTTTATTTTATACCGGTCTTCGCCCATTAACCGCCGGCAGGCTGTGGCCCGAGTTCGCCCGGGCCGGCAAGGGCGGCACCTCCGTGCTCGAGCTGCTGCAGCACCGCGCCGGCCTCGGGCGGCCCTTCCGCAGGCCCGCCGCGCGGCCCGCGCGGGCCGCCCGGCGCCGGGCGCGGGGCCCGGCCGGCCGCACGCGCGCACGTGGCCCAGAAATTGCGAAGGCCTCACTCAGCAAGCAAAGAACGGTATAAAATAAACTTTTTCGCCGTCGGGGACACCTGCCCCTGGGCGGCTGGAAAGTTTATACCCCTACGGTGGCACCGTAAGGGTATAAACTTTCCAGCCGCCCAGGGGCAGGCGCCCCCGACGGCGAAAAAGTTTATTTTATACCGTTCTTCGCCCGTTAACTTACGGCCGATGCCGCCGACCCTGTAGGCAGCGACGACGAAGACAGTGGAGGTACAGACCCAGACCTCCAGCGCATTGACAAAAAGTCAAGGCCGAGGGTTTTCTCGGTTTTCGGCCTCTAGTGGCCCTCGCCAGGCCCTGGGACCGTTAAAAACTACTCATAGGATGAAAAATCGGTCCCGGGGAATGGGTCGAGACTTCTGGGGACCCCGTATTGAACAAATCATGACATCGGATCTCTGGGGAGGAGACCAAGATGCCCTCAGATGGCTCGAAGACGGCGCCAGATGCCCGCAAGGTCGTCCGAAGGCAGCTCAAGAGGGGCTTGTGTAGGGAGCCCTCGGGAAGCAGAAAAGGCGACGACGCTGTAGGGAAAACGGAAAAGCTTCTCCCACACGCCGACAGGGTCGGCGGATTTTTTTTCCCCAGGACCACTAGGAGCTAGAGTTCGAAAGGTTCATGAGCTCGGATCGAGCTCCAGTGATGAGAAAATCACGACGGGGAGTTTGTCGCAAGGTTCAGCCTCTGGCGGCTCTTACCGGCCCTCGGGACCGTCACAAAATGATTCGGGACGACAAGCCAGTCCTGGGGAAGAAGGCCAGACCGCTGGGGGTCCACGCCATGAAAAAATCATCACGTCGGGGGTCTGGGGGCCGGCTATGCACGGCAGAGTGGCCCTTCGCCGGAGGGACCATTGGTCCGCGGACGATTTTTGTGTGCACCGCACCGCGCTGACGTCGCCGGAGGGGTCGTCGGTTCTCGATCCAGGATGAGTATAGGGTGCATCGTTTTTCGCCCCCCAGAGCCGAATCAACGATTCACCGTACCGCGCTGAAGCGAGACCTGGACGGAGTCTAGACGCAGTACGATGCATGGGCGCCGTTCTTGTATTTGGTGCTGGCCCAATGGGGAAACCCGATCGCCGAAACTTGCCGAGCGCGATGCGATGGATTACGATGCATCTTCGGGGGACCTCGTCCGTCCTGTACACTGCTGTCCTTTTTCTTGTGCCCGACTCGCAGTCGACACGGATTCGGCGCGGATTCGACACGGTATTGCCGTGGATTCGACGCGGATTTGATTTTCAACACGCATTCGACACGGACAGTGGCGCGCTGGGACAGACAGGGTCCCCCGAAGATGCAGCGTAAGACAGGAGCGGCTTGCGCGCCTGGACTCGGCCCCCTGGCGGCCCCCAGAAGCCGCGCACCAAAGGTCACTCTGGCCTCTCGGGTGGCTCTTGCGGGTAGCCGAGGGGGGCGGGTGAAAGAGTCACGGCGGGAGGTTTTTCGTTATTTTCGGCCTTTGGGGATCCTGACCGGCCCTCGGGAAAGTCAAAAACGACTTGGGATGACAAACCGGTCCTGGGGAATGGGTCGAGACCTGTGGGAGTCGACGTTACGACAGACTCAGGACGTCGGGGGTCTGGGGGTGTGGAGGGGTGGTGTTAGGATGCGAAAGGGTAGTGTTTCTGGGTCTCCCAGATGGGTCCGAGTAGATGGAGTCGGGGGATTGCGCCGCATCGCCGATGCGTCGCCGACGCGGTTCGATGTGGAGCCCTGTTTCTCCACGCCCGAGCCAGTTGGGGTAGTGTTGGAGCCAGTTGGGGGTCTGAGGTGCCAGCACTAGCTCCGGCCATGAGGAAGCGGGGGAAGAGGTTCGAGGTTCCGGGTTCGGGCAGGTTCTCTATCTTTCTTCGGCATCCAGGGGCCGTCTTCGGGCCCCAGGACTTGCAAACACGGATCTGGGTCAAGACTGCACGAGATTGATTTCGGAGGGGTCCAGGGACCGATTTTGAGCGGATTTGCCTTCATCTCCCTGTCTTGACCGATTTTCTGAGGTCCCGAGAGTGTTAGCCCCAGAATTGTAGAATGGCTTCCCGCCCATCCCGTTACCCCGTCTGCGCTGCGGCTGCTTCGCGTGGAAGTAGGTATTCGCCACTTTGGTGGGCGTCGGTGACACTGCATCTGAAAAGCGAAGTGGGTCAGAGGCTTTGGCATAATGTATTACATCGAAACGCGCTGTCGGGACTCCAGAATGGACAAACTGTCGGGCTCGGGCAGGACCAGGAGGGTGTGCAGGGGTTGTGTGAGCCCCCGAACTATATATGGAGGGCCGCCCTGTCCATTTTAAGGTGGGGAATTGCGCTCCCGGCGGCGAGATATTTATTCTAGACGCTTCCCGTAACCCGACCAGCCCATACTCGGCTCTCGGGCTGCGTGACAGGTGGAGATCGGGTGCGTTCGTCAGCCATATTCCGGTGTCAACCTGTTGTCTGGCTTCGTCAGGGTGTGGCCCCGCACCGAGTGGTTCATCCTTCTGCCCGTGGCCGCTCCCCTAGCAGGTCAGTCTGCCACCAGTCTCGTCAATACGTTGCATTGTTGTGCCACCGAACCGCGAGTGTCGAATACGATGTGTACGCACTGACTACAGGCTGGTGGTGGCTCTTTTTCGTGGGCGCCGACCGTGGTCGCCCCTCTCACGCGCAGGGACGGGCATAGCCACACCTCTGCGTCAGTGAGCCTTGGTGAGTCAGGCCCTACTTCTGTTGCCGCTCTGTCTTTTTCTTGGTGCTGCCGTGTGCCCTGGCTGGGGTCCGCCCTTGCACCTTTCCCTCTTCCCCCTGCCTCCTGGCCTCGCCTCACGTGCTGTTCGGCCGGAGATTGGCGCCGTCTGGGCGACTTCTCCCCGCCGTCCCTGTGCCGTCCCAGAGCCGGTCGCCGCGCTCGTCCCCACCTGTCGGGATGCTCGGCTTGATCACCTGGTAGCGCTGCCGCGCCTCTGCGTCCCCACCTGCTGGGATGTATGAGCCGGTCACCTCTTAATGTGGGTCATTTTGTCCTTGGCACGTGCACACGCCCTGTGGCCTATGCGCCACTGCGGCTAAGTATCTTCGTTCGGCGCCCCGAACGTTGCCCCGCTTCTTGACATTAGTCCTGGAGCCGCCGACCAAAAAAAAGTAACCCGACCAGCCCATCCAGAAACGACGCCCAGACGAGTTGCCCTGATCAGGGATGCGCAGGAGGATGCAGTGGAACGAAGGGCTGTGTAAGACGTCGTACCCAAAAAGGGGGAGGATGGATGAGGAATCGGAGGAGGAGCAGGAGCAGGAGCAGGAACAGGAGGAGGAGGATGGGGAGGAGGAGGGAGAGGGGGAGGGGGAGGAGGGAGGAGGGAGGAAGAGGAACAGGTGGATGAGGAAGAGAAGGAAAAGGAGAAAAAGGAGGAGGAGGAGGAAAAGGGGGGCGAGTAGAACGGCCAGAGTCTCTTGGGATTTCTTTCGGGTTCCTTGGAGTCCTCTTGGGGCTTCTTGGAGGTCGATCGGCAGTCCTGGGGCCTCTTGAGGCGTCTTGGGTGCTTCTGGGGTACCTCTTGGGGTCTCCTGGGGGTCTCTCGGGATCTTCTTGGGGGGATCTTGGGTGCCTCTTGGGGGCCTCTAGGGGCCTGCTGGCACCTCTTGGGGCCTGGGGCACCCTTGGGAGCCTCGGGGGCCATCTTGTAGGAGATCGCTAAAAGGAGGGGGACTCCTTAACCAGGGTCCCCCCCCCGTAGGAGAATCAATGAGTATGGCCTTCTAGCCGAAGCCTCTGGCGGCGACTTGGGTGCCTCTGGTGGGCCTCTTGGGGCCTCTGGGGGGGGCCTCTTGGGGGCATCTTGGGGGCCTCTTGGGAGTGTGTTGGGGCCTCCTGGGCACCTCTTGGGGCCGTCTTGGGTCACCCTTGGCAGCCTTGGGGCATTTTGGAGGAGACCGATTAAAGGAGGGGTGGCTCCTTAATCATGGTCCCTCCTACCAGGAGGCCAACATGTTGCCAACACCTTGGGGCAAGCAGTGGTTATGGCCTTGTCGCCGAGGTATCTTGGGGCGTCTTGGGTGCTTCTGGGGGGCCTTTTTTCGAAATCTCTTGGGGATCTTTTGGGAGCTTCTTTGGGTGATCTTTGGGGCCTCTTGGGGGCCTCTTGGGGCCTCGTGGGCATCTCTTGGGGCCGTCTTGGGGCACCCTTGGGAGCCTTGAGGGGCGTCTTGGGGCCATCTTGGAGGGGATCGATCAACGGGCAGGAGCTCCCTAATGATGGCTCCCTCCCAGGAGGCCAAAACGCTGCCAAAACCGAAGTTCGATGAATGATGTTGGCCTCCTCGCCGAGGCCGTCATGGACGCGTCAACCCCTCGCGACCCCCCTTCCCCCTCCAGACCCAGGCGGAGGGGGAGGGGTAAACCCTTCCCCGAAGGGGAAGAAGGGGGGTTGGAAGAGGGCATTCGCTAAACCACTCACGCCCAGAGGGTTGGTAGGATTTGTTTTCCCCCCTCTGTATCGTGTCCCCCAGCCCGCGCACGTGGACCTCTCCACAGGCGCAGCCAAAAAGCATTACCCCCACATTGATTAGCAACGCAGTTAGTGGACGCGCGAGAAAAGGGAGGGGAAGTGAAGAGTGGGCGTCAAAGCGGACGCTGACAGGTGTCGTATGGGTTTCCCTAAGTTTCCAAGTGTGTTCCGTAGGTTCCTTCGATTTTCTTGAGGCTTATTCTGTGGTGTCCTTGGGTGTTCTATGGTTTCCCGAACGTTCCTAATGGTGTTTCTGTTCCAGTTCCCACGCGGACTTCAAACGTTTCCCTTGGGTTTCGCATTGACTTCATGTGGTTTTCGTTCGGCGAGCGGTTTTTGTTTCCGTTTTTGGCCTCCAGGGTCTTCCCCAGGCCCTAAGACCGTCAAGAAACGGCCCAGGATGAAAGGCGGTCCCAGGGAAGGGTTCCAGACCTTTGGGGGTCCACGTTGCACCATGTCGGGGGTCTGGGGGGGAGGACCCCAGATTTTCCCAGGTCTCCACAGACCTCCGATGATGAGAAGGATGCGGCACCGAGGGGTACGAGGAGGAGGAGGAGGCCGCAGAGCAAGAGAGGCAGGGGAGAGGGGAGGGGGGAGGGGGCGGAGTAAGGCTAAGCAATCAGGCGGAGGAGGAGGAGGAGGAGGAGGAGGAGAAGGAGCAGGAGCAGGCGCAGAAGGAGGAGGAGGAGGAGGAGCAGGAGGAGGAGGAGGAGGAGGAGGAGGAGGAGGGGAGGGAGTGGCCAGTCGAGTATTAGGAGGAAGGAAGGGGATCAGGAGGTAGAGGAGAACAAGGAGAACAAGGAGGAACCGGATGAGGAGCGAAGCATCCGGCAGGAGGGAGGCGGAGGAGGAGGAGGAGGAGGAGGAGGAGGAGGAGGAGAAGCAAGAAGAGCAGGCGGAGGAGGACAGGCGAGAAGAAAGGGGATAGGCTGACGATCGGAGGTGAGGGGGCGACCCCATCGGGAAGTCGGTTTCGGTGTCGTGCTCGTGTCGTGCGCGTGGGCGAGGCGAAGCTGCGTGGGCCCGCGAGAGGAACGATGCCGCCGTGGCCAGGGGCCGTGGAGAGCCGGCTGTCCGCCGCTCCTCCCTCCCCCGGCGCGCGGTGGCCGGGGGTGTCCCGCGCGGTGGCCCCTGGGTGGCCCGCGTCGGTGGCGCGTGGTGTCCCGCGCGGTGGCACGGGGTGTCCCGCGGGGCGGCGTAAAACGACGCGAAGATCGGAACAAAATCGGATCGGGACAACTCGAAATCTCTGAGAATCGGCGGGTTTGGAGGATGTATTGGGCGCCGCGGCCGCTCCAGAGCGTTCCGGAACGATCTGAGAGCGCTCCGGAACGCTCTGGAGCGATTTATCCCGATCCTAGCCCTGTTTTAGCGTGGTGTCCCGCGCGGTGGCACGGGGTGTCCCGCGGGGCGGCGCTGGGTGTCGGCAAGATCGATAGTGAGATCCATGGCGAGGTCGACAGTGAGGTCTGTCGTGAGGTCCACTGTGAGATCGATACTGCGAGATCCGCTGTGAGTTGTGAGATCGATCCTGAGAGATGCTATGAGATCGATGGCGAAATCGCTCGTGGGATCGACCATGAGATCGATAGTGAGATCGATAATGTGATCGAGTGAGAGATCTATTGGGTGACCGATAGTGAGGTCGACAGTGAAATCGATGGCGAGATCGATGGTGAGATCGGTAGTGAGACCTGTTGTGATATCGATAGTGAGATCGATAGTGAGTTCGATTGTCAGATCGATAATGAGATCGATAGTGAGGTCGGTTGTGAGATCGGTTGTGAGATCGATAGTGAGATCGGGTGTGAGATCAAGAGTTTGATCGATGTGTGATCGATTGAATGAGACGTTGGTTCCCCCTCCCTCCCGAACCTTTATATTACCGAAAGGTGGTCGATTAGGTAATGAATGTCACATGCCACGGCAGGTGCGACGATCAAGATGTGATGTCAATGCCTATGAGAGCGCCGTCGCTTCGGACTCGGATTCGTTTGGGCATGCGCTGCTCTGCGCAGAACTCCAGAATTGGATTCGAAGTTGCTACTGATTTTATGGGCGGCGAAATTCAGAAGCCAATGCAGCAGAGAAGCAGGAGGAGGAGGAGGAGGAGTAACAAAAAGGCTGCTAGTCAGGAGGGCTCGTGGCCCGTCGCCCTCAGAGCTCCTGGGAGGGACGAGGGGTCGATGAGGAGTCGATTGGCATGAGGAGGAGTCGAGGAGGAGTCGAGGAGTGTAGAAAAGATGCAGAGGCAGGCGGAGAAGGAGCAGGAGGGAAGGGCTACGCAGCAGCAGCGGGAGGAAGACCCGTGGACGCGAGGAGTGAAGAGGAGTCGTGGCCCGTCCCCGCGGCGCTTGACCAGGAAGACCACGTTCACCTCCGTGTGCAACGAGAAGTTCATGGAGGAGGCCATCGCGGATTGCCCCAGCCCTGGGCAAGCAGATCGCTTGGGGGAAGAGATTCCTCGCGGAATCCGCGGGAGGGGCCGGTTGGGACCGGTTGGTATTGGAAGGAAGAGAGGGGCAATTATTATGAATAGGTGCAGCACCACCACGGGCAGGATGAAGATGTGGGACGAGGAGGAGAGGGTGGCGGGGGATGATGCTGAGGATCATGACGAGGATCGTACGGGAGGAGCAGCAGGAGAAGAGGGAGGCAGGGGAGGGGCAGAGAGAGAGAGAGAGAGAGAGAGAGTGCTGAGAAGGGAGTGGCAGGACATGCAGGACTTCCCTCTCGGGTGCAGGGGCCACGCTGGGGGATCCCAGGGAGCCCCCTGCGGATCGCTTCGGCGCTCCCGTCTTGGGCCACTTGGAGCCTTCAGTCCCCCGAGGACCGAGGCCACCGAGGACCGTCCCATGCTCTCTGGGAGCTAAGGGGGGAGAGGAGGGAGGAGAGGAGGGAGGAGCGATCAGGAGGAAGAAAGGAGGGACAAGACAGTTTTTCGGGACTGGGCTGGGACGAGGGGGAAGAGGGAAGGAGAAGGAAGTGCATGTCTCGTCCGAGCTGGGCTGGCGAGAGACAGGGAGGAAAAGGTCAGGGAGTCAGGGAGCCAGGATGGGGAAGGAGGAAGAGGACGGCAAGTCGGGTGCCCAGACATCTGACGTAGTGTTTTGTTCGTAGCGTGGCTCCGCAGAGGCCGGGTTCCTTCCCGGAGACTGGGTTCTCATCCTGAGCAGTTCTTCATAGTCCTGGGGCCCACAGAGGGCCCCTGGAGTTATGATGTCCCAACCTTTTTGACCACCAGAAAGAATTTCGCGCACCAAGACAGGACCAAAACTTTGGGGTCTTCACGTGTCGGGCCCTGGAAGGCGATACTCTCGTTCGACACTCTTTCCATACTTTGCTGAGTGCTCGAAATTATGTTTGGGATGTGGTCATTCAGTACGTTGGGAGCAACAGAACCCTGGAGGCCGAAAGCAACAATACGGCCCTCCCGTCGTGGCCTCGTCACCCGAGAGGAAGAGGGGGGAGCGGAAGGCAGGGCGCGAGAACGGGGTGACGCGACGACGTTGACAGTGACAGCGACGACGACGACGACGACGAGGTCGACGACGACGGCGGCGACGACCGACAACGACGACGAGAACGACGGTGACGACGGCGAGGACGACGGTGAGGACGACGTTGACGGCGACGACGAGGACGACGACGACGATGACGAAGTCGGCGACGACGACGATGACGACGACGGCGACGACGACGACGATGACGAGGACGACGACGACGGCGACGACGACGACGATGGTGACGACGACGACGACGATGACGACGACGACGACGAGGACGGTGACGACGACGACGACGACGATGGAGACGACGACGACGACAACGACGACGAGGACGGCGAGGACGACGACGACGACAAAATCGACGACGAGGACGGCGACGACGACGACGACGACAATCAAGAGGACGACGAGGACGACGACGACGGCGACGACGAGGACGACGACGACGACGGTGACGACGACGGCGGCGACGACGACGACAATGAGGTCGACGACGACGACGGCGAGGACGGGCACGACGACGACGAGGACGACGTCGGCGACGACGGCGACAACGACGACGACGACGATGACGGTGACGACGACGACGACGACGAGGACGAGGACGACGACGACAACGACGAGGACGACGACGGTGGCGACGACGACGATGACAATGACGACGACGAGGACGAGGACGGCGAAGACGACGACGACGATGAGAACAACGGCGACGACGACGAGGAGGACGACGACGAGGACGACGACGACGACGACGACGACGAGGACGGCGACGACGACGACGACGTCGGCGTCGACGACGACGGCGACGACGACGACGACAAGGACCGTGACGACGACGGCGGCGACGACGACGGCAAGAACGAGGTCGACGACGACGACGAAGACGATGACGAGGATGAGGAGGAGGGGGAGGTGTTGTACGAGAACGAGCACGAGCACGAGGACGACGACGAGGCAGTACCAGGCCGGTCGCGTCCCGCCCCGCGCCTGGCACCCGCCGCGTCCCTCGGGGTGCAGCGGCCGAGGCCCGCGGAGCAAGGACGAGGGCGACCGCGCGTGCCGGGTGCGGCCCTCGGCTCGCCCTCCCGGCGGTCGTCGTCGTCCTCGTCGTCGTCCTCGTCGTCGTCCTCGTCGTCGTCGTCCTCCTCGTCGTCGTCCTCCTCCTCGTCGTCGTCCTCCTCACCGTCGTCGTCCTCCTCGTCGTCGTCGTCGTCACCGTCGTCGTCGTCGTCGTCGTCGTCGTCGTCGAATCCGACTTTCTCCGATTAGGCTTGCCGCCTGCTGGAGTCCTAGCTCAATGCGTCGAGCACTGGTCCACTGATGCCCCCCACCCCTGCTCAACCCTTGCAGCTACCAGGCTGTGGCAATGGCTCCGTCTGCTTTTGCGATGGCTTCCTCTGCTATTGCGACGGCTCCCTCTGTTATAGCAATGGTTTGTTCTATTTTTGCACTGGCTTCCTGTGGCTGTTTCAATGGCGTCCCAACAATCGCCCAACTCAGAAGCAGAGTAGAGTAGGGTAGAGTAGATCAGATCAGGGTAGTGTAGAGAAGAGTGGATGAGTAGAGTAGGGCAGACTAAAGTAGAGTAGACCAGAGTAGAGGAGGGTAGAGTAGTGGAGAGTAAAGAAGAGTAGAGTAGAGCAGCGTAGAGTAGAGTAGACTATACTAGAGTAGAGTAGGGAAGAGTAGACGAGAGTAGAGTATTGTAGAGTAGAGTAGATGAGGGTAGGAGTATAGTAGAGTAGAGTAATTTATAATGTAATAGAGTATATAACAAACAGTGTATGAGAAAAGCAGAGCAGAGCAGAGCAGAGTAGAGTAGAGTAGACCAGAACTGAGCCGAGCAGAACAGAGTAGAGGAGAGGATAATACAGCTGAACTTTGTAGGAGTAGGAGTAGAGTAGAGTAGGAGTAGGGTGAGTATGGTAAGGTAGGATAGGGTAGGGCGGAGCCGAGTAGGGTAGAACCAGGAAGAGTAGAGCAGAGTAGGGCAGCTGCTAGAGTAGAGCTGGGCAGAGTCGATTAGGGCAGAGTCGAGTGGAGTGGAGCAGAGTCCACCCCAGTCCAGGCCAGGCTGCTCGAGACCAGCCTACTCCATCCCACTCCAGCGGCAGCTGCGACGCCGAGCCGGCGCTGCGCTCCCCCCGCCGCCAGAGCGGCCGCCAGCCCGCGCCCACGGCACCCACCGCAAGACGAGGTGCTGCGCGCGCGCCGCCGTCGCCACAGGCTCTGGGGCGGGGAGGTCGTCCAGCGCCGGCGGGACCGCGGCCGCCGCCGCGGCCGCCCAACGGCCCGTCCCTCGGCCTCCACCTTGGGCGCCCTGGGAGGGAGGGGCCTCCGCGACTCGAGGAGCGGCGAAGCGTCCTGGCTGGCCCACCGGGCCATCAAAGAATGGTCTAAAAACCTCCTGTGGTCCGCTCGAAATGTTCTTTAGGACGTGTCTGGCTGGGCCCATCTTGCTTCGACATGTCGGGCTTCTGTTCTGAGAACGCTGTCTTTGTAATTCGAACACTTTTGGGGTTCCAAGCACGTCTCGTGGTAGGCCGATAGGAAGGCTGGGACGCTCGGTCCCTGCTCAACTCCTCGACCTCCGCGCCAGGGGCGCCCTGGGAGGGAGGAGGGCCGCCGCCGCGACCTCGACCAGGGCCCCTCGCCCCGGGGAGCGCAGGCAGCTCGCTCTGCAGCTGCCGCCGCGCCTTGGAGCCCACCGCCGGGCCGCGCCCGCGGGGCAGGGCGCCATGCGCCCCGGGAGGGAGCGCCTCGACCTGGCCGCAGGGCGCGCCCCGCAATGCGCCCGCGAATTCAGAGCGCACGCTGCAGCGGCATCCGAGAGGCCTCCGCGCGCTCCGGCAGCGCGCCACGTGCAGCCGCGCCGCCGCCGCGCCGTCGACATGCATAGCTCCGTGGCTGCCCTGGGGCGCCGCGGGCCTCGGCCGCGGGGCCCGCCTCTGGGGGTGGAGCCGCTGAGCTCCCGGCGCCGCGGCGGCGGGGGCCCAGTTGCGGCACCTCCAGACGCTTTTTGGTTACCATCGTGTCAGCTAACTCTCGTGCCCTTGTCACTGAGGATATACGAACAGCTTGCGCTGAACTCCGAGCTCGAGGATACATGTCCGACCGTATGACACACGCAGAGGTTATGACCTCATAAACATGAGCAGTCGGAAGTCTGGGCGGATTTCTCGGATCGGCGCTTGAGCCCCCCCTCCCTGGCGCGCGGAGCGCGCCAGGGGCGGCGCTGGAGGCGCCGCCACGGGGTCCAGCGCGGATCCGAAAAATCCGCGCGGATCGTTCCTCTA